ACTCTTAAGCCCGCCAAGAGGCACAGGTCTTCAAAATAGATGGAAGGTGTAGGCACGTGCGCCCGATTGGTGTTCTCAACGACTCAAACCTTGCAAGACGTCAACGAGCTTAACTTAGTCGTATGGTGGTTTTCTTTGTCCACTTAAGGCAGCAGCCTGTGTTTGGCCGCGCTCAAACTCTTGCATGTCCAGCCTTTGTCAACCTTCACGTGAGCGCTGAACCTCGCCTGGCGACGCCGAGCATTGCCGCATGAGTACCAAGCTGACTTCAAGCAACGCAGAGCGTAGCACGCCGCTGCAATAATATGCGCAAGCCGCTTTTTGCCCCGATCTTAATTGTGCACGTTCTAAAATGGGCTAGAAAAGCACCGATGAAACTGAATGTAATCACTCAGTAGAAGGATGCAAAGGATCGGTGCAAAGGAGGCCTTTGGCCGACCAAGCTGTTGTGCTGCGAGCTCTTCGGCGCCCCGCCATGAATTCGAGTTTCCTCGTCATTGATTGGGTTGTCGCCCTCGTTGTCTGAGTCACTAACAAGAAAGGGCTGGGATCCCCATGAAGCAGCAGAGGCTGTAAAGAGAGTCTTGTCGCCATCGCTGCGCCAGGTTTCGCACTGGGTCTCATCGTCTTCGTCTTGGCACCGAGGCGCGGCCGTGAGCACCTGCGCCTCGTTTCTCGGAGCCGTGAGCATGACCATACTTTTTTCCAGGCGCGAGGTAGCTGCCGAGTCCAACCCCCATGGCTGGGATTCAAAGAAGCTATCCGGGTTGTTGACGGGCTGGGACTCGTCCATCCATAGGGGGCTACCATCAACTTGGGAAAGTAGGAGCTTGTCGTTGTAGTCGAAGATACCAGTAGGCTGGGAATCAGGGTGGGGATGATATGCCTCCGGGGAATCAGGCTCTAAGTCAATCTGGGTGTCATCAAACTGGGTGTTTGGCCACTCATCATTGTTGCCCTCCAAAAAGTTCACAGCCACCCCAAAGCTCCCAGAAGACTGGAGCATCGAAGCTTCAATGGCAAGGTCTAAGGCATCGCATGACGGCTGGCTGGCGAAGTTCTTTTCAACGCCACCCCGCACTGAACGACAAGCAGGCGTGCGACAGGACGAGGCAAGCTTTGGTTTGTCAAACTGGTTGTGTTTCACTGCCATCAAGTTTGGGATTTTGTTCAACAACACCTCGCCGCGTGTCTTGCTCGATGCCATTGTTCCAGCTAGGCCAAAGCGCACCGACGGGCTGAGGGCTGGTTTGATCCAAACAAAATCCCATTCAACAATGTTCAATGGACAATGTTAGGTCATTTTACACTGCAACTTGACAGCTGTCCAATGTCCCAGTGGCTCGGAAGCGACACGAAACTGAAGGCCCTGCCTTGAATAAATCTGAGTGCTCAATCAACATCGCCGGGGATCTTTTGTTTTTCACAAACAGCTCCAGCCTCAGATGACACCAAGCTGAAGTGAAACCCTGAAAGTTGTTTAGACCAGACCACTGCGGCTCTGTTGCATTTCTGCGATGTAATCATCAGCAAAGGTCGATCGTGATGCAACCCTGGCAACAATGGTTTCGTTTTGACAGCTGTTTTGAGGGAGGGGGTGCCCTGCAAACACCCGAGCCTTCGTATGGCGTGTGCCATATCTCGGACACGAAGCTTGATGTGCTTAAAGTAGGAGCGGTCCACCAAGTCCCCAGATAAGGCTGCCTGGGCACTGGTGTGCAAAATGGAGAAAACGTAAAGCGTGTTTCAGGGAGAGTGGCCAACGCCAGTTGCTCATCAGCAGCACTGTCGGCAGTTAGAGCTTCGACTTTGTCGCGCAGAATCGGCTCCATTTTTTTGTAAGATGTCCTTACTTGGCTGGGGTCGGGCTTAGCAACAAAACCCTGCAATAAATTCCACACGCGCCCCCCTCTCATAATGGGACAAGCTTCCGAGGAACTCTGCTGAATGGCATAGGTGAGTCAGGGCAGCAAAACGATTCAACTATCAGAGTTGTTGCTTCCCGGATTTTTAGGGCATGAAACTGCTTCAGCCCCGCCAAGAAGAAAACACCCATGAAGTCGTGCCGGCTTTCCAGTTTGTCATTGGCAGACCCGAATCGAAGGCAGAGCCAGCCTTTCGAGGCATCCTGAACCAGACTAATCGAGGACGCATCTGACCTCAGCTGTTAACTGTTTCGGTTTGATTACGTTACACCCTGCCGTTCTCTTGAAAGCAGCTCAGTGGCAGCCAAATAATTGACAATTTCCGGGCCGCCTCGCCCAAACACGCCTTCATCTTTCTCATTTTTGTGCGTCCCTCGGGCCGAGCGTGCATCAAACGGAAATACTCATGTATGACTTATTGCTGAGTGTGGCCCAACTTCCATCGCAGGTTGAATGCGAGGATTTTCTCATCTGTTGCAGCAACCGTTGGAACAGCTCGGCCGAGGGCACCTAACTCTCACAGCAAAGGACCCTCATTGGTAAAGATTGATAATACTGCGAAAGCCCCTTTCAAGCAAAATCAGCCAAGCAGGAAACTGAGCGCAACGCCACCTTGCCATTCACCATCCTAAGAGGTCCTGCGCCAGTCAGGAAGTTAGCTGCATGTTGGTGTTCCTTGGTGTCGTTGTGTTGCTCCAGCTGCTGCCGTCGAACTTTGACTACCTCAGTGAGGATTAGAACGCAGTTTCAACACCGAAGCTTTAAAGCCAATGTAGTTGAAAGACACGTGCGTTCAAGTTTCAAGGCTACCAGTGGCGAGTGGCCGTTCGGCCAGCCCTAAAGCGGCCCCACTGTGTAGTGATACCGGCTTCTGCACATGTTGTGCATCCAAGGCCCGATCGGCCCAGTTGCACCCAGGGATAATCTTCTTGCCAATCATCTAAATGTTTGGCAACATGGCGGTGCCAGTCCTTGGATGGCTCATAATACACTTCTGACGCAACGCAACCGTGATAGCCCTTGGATGTCCAATGGTTTTTGAAGAAACGATTTCAACTGCATTCGTCAAGGCACTGCCCACTTCTTGCTGTCCATGCGGCCCATGTTCAGAGCCAAATTCTCTGGCGGTATAAAAAATGATCGCAAATATGAATGATTCAGTGGCTTTCTGATTCATGCTTGCATGCACCATTATGCCAGGACCAGGGTGCAGCAAATTCACGTTCTGCCAAACTGGCTTGTTTCCAATTCACCGGACCCCATTACCAATTTCCCTGATACTAATTAATCGGGGCTTTAAATCCCTAAGTAAACAAGGTGAACACGGGAAATCAGGGGCCTGGAAACAGGAGTTTTACGGCTTCTGCTTTGCCAAACGGACCCAAACCCTGCCCAAACCACCTTTCCGCCTCCTGCGTCTTTGGCGCCTACTGACTAGCACAAGTTGTCAGCCCAAACAGCTGCCCATTTGCAATTTGCAGCTTCCAACCCAACTTCAACAAACATATTCTTCGCAGAATTCAACATCCTCAAAACTGGAATGGCACCCCTCGAGCCAAGAAGTTTGCGTTTCACTAAGCAGGGAAGATACAAATGACAAATAAAAAGGTTGAGAGCCCCAGTCTTGCCACAGCCCTTGCTGTGGAGCCCGGCCAGGCTGGGAGCTGCAGCGGCAGCAGCATCAGCGGGCCACGCTCGGCGACCCTTTTCCCCAGCTCCCTCTCGGAAAACAACTTGTGAAACACCCTTCTCCTGGCCCTAAAACTTAGATTTGCTTTTTCGGAGTTTGGGGCCCTAACTAGCTGTGCTTGGGTGTTCGTTATTGGTCTCGCTCGAATTCATTCCGGGGAAACCTCATCCATTGCCAGCTTCCCGAAGAAAACCCCGATTTGCCAAGTTGGTTGATGTTTAACAGTTTTTTTGATTGGTCTGCAAGAATGACACGCAGTTTAATTGAGACCACGTCTGCCGGGAAGCTTTAAACACTGAGTAAGTGGTTTCACGATGACAATGTTCAGAACAACAACCCCTTGTATTTAAGCAGGCCCCCTGATGAAGAACTCAGACACACCAGCTTCGCAGTCCCAAAGCTATAAGGGGTGGGGAGGAACTGTTCAAAAGGGGGCAAGTTCCAGAATCATTGCAGGCCAGGCATAGCAATCTATCCGACAAATGTGAATCACCTACTTAGACGTCTAGCTTTTGTTGCCGACACCTTCATTGAAAGCATGGCTGGGTGAAACCTAGGTAAAGAAGTATCACAGGAACCTTGACAAGTCAATGTCAGAAACACATTGGTTGAACGAAAAGATGCAAAGTTGAATCCATAAATGGTAAAGGGGTAAACCTTGAAATTAAGTTGTTCAGTGACAAACCTTGCCGAGTCAATTAGCGTTGTTCCTCAAATATGCCAGCGACACCCATCAAGTTAGAAACAAAAACGAAAAAATGCAGTGATTAAATGACATTGTTAAACGCACCCCAGCTTGGCCCCCCATGCAGCCACTTTTGCACCCTGAGAAACCCCACACCGAGTGGTTCGGTTCAGGGTAATTCCATCATTTTCTGGGAACCAGCAAGCAGGGGAGGAAGGTTTTGACATTTTGCACACCATGACCGCACATCACCCAGTTCCGAACATGCCACCGTCCAAGCACAACTCAATTTCTGGGAAGTAGCCCCAAGGAGGTGGTTGGATCACCGCAACTGTCTTCTGATGCTAGCAGGGCATTCTTACTGTTGCCGCCCTCACAAATGGGTTGACCTCAGCCATGAAGATTCGTAGAGGTTTCCCCCTATTCAGGCTGGGTGAATAGAGATAGGTGAAAGTAGATAGCACAGCTCCCCAATTTTGTTTGGCACAGAAAGTGCATTGTGCCGTCCACTTTCACCGCGGTGTAATGTGTGTAGTGTATGTTTTGTCAAGGCCCCGAAACATGAAGTTGCCCCCCCAATTGGTGGTTTTGGATTGGTTTGGATTGGTTAGCCCCAAGCCACCAATCCAACTGGATGAAGTTTGTTAGGAGCCTTTCATTTCCAGGTCCCAGAGTTTGCCTTCTCTCGGGTTCGGGCCAGGAGACGACCCAGAGGTTCTGAAGGGCGCCGCAGGCGACGCCGGCCGACACTCTTTTTTTTGTTGGCGGGGTTGCTTCCGGGGCTTTGGTTCGTGGCAACCCCTGGGAGCAGTGGTGGAACAGCTGAATACTGCATGCGACCTTTTGCGGTAGGCATATGTGAGGAATACCTGCCAAGGAAAGGTGAGTTAAGTTGGGGGTCAGGTGCCTCAACCCATTCAGCGGCTTCAACCAAACAAGAGCATCCCTAGAGGGTAGACACCAAATAAGGGATAAATAATAATTGAGGCGGAAAGAAGACATCAAATTGGCCCAAGTAGAATATTGCTGAACTGCTGCCCTGGGGTCTTCTAGGCTTCTAGGGGTCTGTGGTCACTCCTGTCGCGGTTCTCTCTTTGAATAAAAGTGCCACCTGTTATGTTGGCGCGCACAATTCAGTTTGGCCTTCTCAAGTAGGTTCACGTACTCCAATTTTGGTTGCTTGTTAGATTCAGAGGGCGGACGTTTCCTCACTTTCCCATTTTCTGTGTCTTACCCTTGGGAGGTCATGTCACCGAACGTGAAGGTTCCTTTTCAAATTTTATGTGAGGTTGGCGCACTATGTTTTCATTTGCCTACAAGTAGCGCAACCGAGCCGAGAGGTCTCTTGTCCAACCCCAAGCTTATCGGCGCCATGGTGGAGGAACACAGGCTCTCACTGAAGAGAGAGAGAGAGAGAGATCCTCGCAGGGACGGGTCCACAAGGTTTGAAGAAGCACGTGGAAAGTATCAATCAATGGCGTGGTGTCGCGTGTGTTTTGCCAAAGCAACACGACCCCATACACTGTGAATCTGAGTTTATGCATGGCGTAATGGCCTTTGTTCGAACACGCATGCGGAGCTGTTTTGCTTTCGTCAGCTCGGTCTCGATAGCTTTGAGAGCATCCCCACAATATCATATGCCAACTTTTGGTAGGTCTTGCAGGGGACTCCATATGGACTCCCCTGCTTTTAGGATGCCACCCCCATTCATCACCAAACCCCCCCCACTTTCCTCCCGGGCAGATCTGGGAGTCCCTAGTTTGCGGTTGAGCCCCCGAGTTGGGTTCTCCTTTTCCGTGATGGACAAATTCCTGCACAAGTTGGTAGGTGCTTTATCCAAGTACTCCTCGGGCTTCATCCATCACTGCGAAGTGGATTTTGTCCGTCCACTGTAGTTTTAGGTTGACCCCCCACTCGATTTGTCCTCTCCCTCTATTCGTCTTTTTGGTTGAGGCCCCTTCTCAGTGGGTTGACTGGGTTGACCATGTCCCCCCTTTTCGATTTCGCCCTTTTTCCTGGTTGTTCTCCCCGAGCGGGATACACCTGGTGCCAAAAAAAATCCGCCCCCGCGGCCCGCGTCCGCCCCCCCCCGTTGGAGTTCGCCCCCGTCCCAGCCGCTGGATCCGCAGCGGTCGTCAGGGAGCTGCTGCAGCTTAAGGGCCACAAGGCGGACGCCGTGGCGCGGCAGCTGGCGGCCTACGACTTCCGATGGACTCATCTCATGGACCCCGACCCGGCCCCTCGAAGGAGGCCCTCCTGGGTTGGAACCAGCTTCTTTTTTTTGTTGTTTCTGGGAAGGGGTGTGTGTGTGGTTCCCACAAGGTGAGGTGGGTATGTGACGTGTTTTGAGGCCCGGGAAACCCCACTTCACCTTGGTTCAAAGGCACGCCAAAAAAACCACCACCTTTTTGGGGGTACTAACACACAGACACACACTCATCTTGGAATGGAAGCCACCGGTTTAGTTGTAAAAGGGGAACCCCACTTCACCTTGGTTCAAAGGCAAGCCAAAAAGAACACCACCTTTTTGGGGGTACTAACACACAGACACACACTCATCTTGGAATGGAAGCCACCGGTTTAGTTGTAAAAGGGGGGTTTGGTTCCCGCTGAAAGGTTAGACCCCAAATGTTGCTCAATCGCAGGTCAGAATGGGGTGCCTGGATGTGCCCGGCTTCTCCAACCTAAGACACGTCCGCCAGAATGTGGTGGGAATGAGGGGGTTGTTCCCACTTTTGTGAGCGAACCACAACTTCCTTTCGAATCTTTCGAGTCACGCGCAGATCCCGCTATGCCAAGCCCTAGCCATAGCCCTTCAACCAAGCTTCCCCATATTTGCCCTTCTGGCTTTGAAAGTCACCTGTTGGACCAATTCAAGGTGAGCTTCCTTCAGACTGCGTGGGGGAACCATAGGTAGTCCTTTTTTTTTTTTTTTCCTTTTTTCCTGGGAAGGCCAGGGTTGCGTCGAGCCGAGGCGATCCGCAACATCTTGGTGCTGCGGCCGCAGGCCGCAGCCGTTGTGGAGGCCAGGTGCACGTCTTTTTGTTTTTTTCTCCGGGCGGAATTGGACAGAGCTCCGTGCTTAGATCTTTTTTGGGGGGGTGGTTGAAGCATCACCCTGTTTAGAATGCCAATTTTGAGTGAGTTCACCTTTGGTGGGGAGATGTTGAGGGGGGGACGATTTTGCGTGTTGTTTGATTGAAGGGTCTGTGATGTGGTGGGAAGGGATGGGATGATGGTGGAGTTGCCTGGTTGCGATTGTGTATCAAAAACAAATTCAATGGAAAGAGGGACAGCAAAGCTGGGCAGAGAGCGCAGTTTGTCGCACGGGGAGGAACCCCCAAATGGGCTGCGGCTTCAATTTGGCTTCCCTCCAAAGCAATCCCATAAACGGGCGCTAACTCCGAAAACGGAAGCCGCTTCACACGTAGCTTGGAACCTTGTGTGACTCACATAGGGTCCCGAAACTTCCATTGGAGCAACTTGGAACATCATTTTTAGGTGTGAGAGACCTAACATCAGAATTTTGCGTGGTTTACGCGAGACAAGTGAGCAGCACTGACACTCTTATTTGCTATTTGTGCAGGAGGTTCTACTCGTTCGTGGGGTTAAGAGTGACGACCATCCAAACCTTTGCACCCAATTCTCCAACCATCTTAGAACCACAAGTCAATCGCACTAGAGTGGGTCATAAATATCTACACTTCAGATTTGTGGGTTCTATTTTTTCGGTTAAGACATGTGCACATGACCTTTCTCGTTCTGCTCAAGTCACCTTTTCCGGCTCGGGGGTTGGAAACGGATCCGAGGCCAGCGGCGGCTTTCAACTGGCGCAGTTCCCCCAGAGCCTGAGGCGCGCGTGCGGAAAGGTGCCGCGAGGTTCAAACGCCGCGGGGTCTCTTTCAAAGGATTGGACAGGAACATCTACAGGACATGGCCCCAAAGCAGCCTAAACAAGCCTTTTTTTTGGTAGATTTTCCTGTAAGCCCACCCTTTGATTTATTCGTTTTGTATCTTGCTGGTACCTTTGGGTCAAAGGGAAACGGAAGGGAAGAAGCAACAGTTCAACGGTTCCCATTTGGAGTTCAAGCATGGATAGAGACCAATATGAATCCATTTCGACCTTGTGACATTGTTTTGAGAACCCCCAAAAATATTGCTTGGAGTTCAAGCCAAGCGCAGAATTCGTCCCTCGAACTCTGCGCCGACTTGCCTTTGCCCGTGGCAGGACTTGAGACGAACTGGCCGCAGGGCTTTGGCCACGACACGTGCGAGAGGAGTGCGCCGCATGCGGCGGGTGAATAGCCCTGGGCTGAACGAGCTCCAATGATGCGATCGCTTTCCCCGACAGCTGGTGGCCGGATGGTATGTGAACAAAAAGGCGCGTCAAGTGCGCAAGACAAGATTGCATCACACCAAGGGGCAACTAATTGCAGGACCGGCAGAGAGAGTTAGCGAGGGAGAGAGAGGGAGAGAGAGATTGGCAGAGAGAGAGAGAGAGACAAAGAGCGAGACAGAGAGAGAGGGTGCCTGAGAGTGGTATAAATATGATGCAAAATCTGAACTTATTTTTGGCGTAGCCCAGAGCTAGCTGAGGCTGGCGATGCTCCGAACGGCCGCAGGTGACCGGCATCGCTTGTCCAGGGCGCGGGGGTCCGCATGTGGCGATTCCATTAACATGGCTTGTCTTTGGGGTGACCTACATCTCCATTAAACCTGCAATGGGTTCTGTTAAGAAATGTGTCATGGTTGCGGAAAAAAAGGGGGTCGGGTTGCCAGCTTCTGTGATACCATCCAAAAAAGGAATTCAAAGTGGCCAAGAAGTCATCGGGAATGGCCCATATTGGCACACAATGGGTGATTTTTCCGCAACCATGTCCTTTAAGAACCGTTTCTTTAAATGGGCCTTGTGGGTAATCTTGGTTGCCTTTTGATTCTTATCACCATGCATGGCTCTTGTCCTCCAACAAGGCCCGCACCTCAAGCGCCAGGCACGAGCTAGTGGCGGCCCTGCGCCTGCCCCAAACAGCCGCACAGGCGGAAGCTTCCCATCGCACGCCAGCGTCGCGGAACTGTTCGTTCCAGGGGGGAGGGTCAGGAATCTGGAATCCCAGACATGTCCCTTTGAGGGCAGCAACATTTGGGGCTTTGTTATAGTTTGTTTGAGGAAGCATGTTAAGGGTACTCTTGAGTGTGTTGGGCATGTTTTCAACATTTGGACCCAGCTTGATTGACTTTCTTGTTGGTGAGGTCCTGTACAGGACACAATTGTACGTTTGTGAGAAACCTTGACCGACTGAAGGGAAAGGTGAGTCAGAGGGTGCATCTGAAGAAAGGTGTTTTTACCACATACGGAACCCTCCCATGGTCAGGTTCCTCTTTTTTTCGAGTGACACCAGCTATCCTGATGGGTGCTTGCTGAGGGCAAGAAGGTTGTATCACACGCAAACACCGCCCCACTCAAGCACACCCCCTTGGGAACAAAACTGGAGGCGTGTCTTGGGGGCTTTCCACTGGTAAAGGCCAAGATTGTCCCCCACTTGTTTGGCGACAGCTTCAATTCCATGGCAAGGACTGCAGATCCCGCATAGGTTGATCTGCAGACTTGGCTTGGCTGCTTGCTTGCTCTCTCGCTTGCTCTCGCTCGCTCGCTTGCTTGCTTGTTGTGGTAATGTTTGCTTGGAATCTATGGAGGTACACAGCATTGTTCATTTGTTGTTCTGTTTGGCCCGTACATCGCGCGACTGGAGTTCTGAGAGTCACGGAGAAGCACAGGGACCTAGTTTCCTGTGCAAGGCGCTAAGAAAACCTCGCTGGCGCGGCGTTGCATTCCGTTTGCTGGTCGGGAGGACATGAAACAACACGTTTTTCTTAAAATGACTGCTCTTGTCTCCCCTAGCCATCCAAAAAGAAAGGCGCCTCAATTCTTGGAAACACTCGCAAGGATCCCTGAGAAGCCTGAGCAGAATTTCCGAACTGGTGGAGGCTTCAGGTCTTTGTTACCATGGCATCGGGATGGCATTTGGGCTCGAAACTTGAATCCTCAAAACTTGATCAACGGAGCGGCGGCTTCCAACCATCTGCCAGTTTGGGTCCAAACAAGTCGTTGGGAATTCCAGCACAGAGACAGCCAAAGGCCCCGCAAAGGTTTGGTTTCTGTTTTCCAGCTGCCCAAAGGGGTGCCAATGGCCTTCCCCTTCCCTTTTTTGACGGGGTTCCCCTTTCAGATCAACCCAAGGGGTGCTCTTTTCATCTAAGCCATTGGGTTGGGGAGAGGTTGCAAGCCTTGCCTTTCAGATGGCCAGCGAGCTGGGCTTTGCGCCCCTGCGTGGAGAGAAGGCCGGAGGGATGGCATCCTTATGGTTCCTTCTGTGTGCCGGTTTTGGTGTTCGTCCCCCTTTTTTTGACCCTGGCGACCTATGGGGAAGCCAGAGTTTGTTGTTGTTGCTTCTTTTTTTTTTGGGGGGGGGAGGAGGTTGATCATGGGAATCTCCTTAGTGACGATGTCGTGTGGATGGGAGTTCCAGCTTGGTATCGCGTACCCAAGTCCATTTGCTTCCACTGAGTCCGCAACCTTTTAGCTCCTTGTTGGCCAGCTTTGTCATTTGTGTAAAGGCCCAAAACGTTTTCGCGCGTGGTGAGTAGCAGTGGATTGGAACTGAGGACATTCCAGCTCCCGAGAACTGGTGGATCCCAAGAACTGCTATTCACGTGTGAAGAGGAGGATCCCAAGAACTGGTGGCCAGTCAAAATAGGGTTTCGGACCCCAAACGATGGATTCCGTTTTTACCTTTCTATCAACCAACCCGAATGGCACCCTCAAACAAACATCCCCCCAAAGGGAGATCAGAGGGGCTAACCTTGGCAATTTGCGACGCGCTGCTGTACAATGTTTCCCAACCATTCCTTTGAAACACGGGGTACCAACCTTTGGGTGTAGAAAGGTCCCTTAAGGGTGTTTGTTTGTTTCTTCGTTTGTTTTTGCGTCAGCCCACGAAGCTGACGCAAAGGCGGGTGGATGATGTTTCACTCTTGATTTCTTCGATGGGAAGCCGCATGTTGAAGGTGATTCTAGCACCCGGCTAGATGGAAGCGCGCGATTGCCATGCTTCCGGCGCTTGCTTGCGGCTGGGCAAGCCACTGGCCGGAGGAAACCAAAAACAAATAAAGTTGGGAAAGTAACTGGTTTCCTGCGAAAGTGTTGGGATGGTTAGAGTCCATTTGGGGGAACCCTTGCCGGTCGAGGCGGCCGACGTCACTCAAGTGGCCATGGAGGCAGGAATTGACACGGGGCGGAAATCCGTGTCGGTATGGCCGGATGCCGACGTCTCGGTAAAGTTTGGGTTGGTCCCTTTGTTTCTTGCTGGTTTTCAGTGAATCAACAAGCATTTTGGGAAGGAACCGTTTCGGGATCCCTTGAATAAAGCCACATGTCCTGCTGAGAAATCGTGGAAGCTCGTTGCAACTGGCTGTTGTGTATAAATCCTCATGCAAATGACATGCAGCAGCACGCCGGCTCACAGCTCAAATAGTTGGAACCATATCGCCGGGGTAGAGAAGAGCTGGAATGCAGTCTCCGGATCTTTTCGAAACCTTCAAGATCGAGGAAGGTGTCAGCCGCAAACTGAAGCATTCGGGCTGCCCGGTTCGTGAATCCAGCGGGATTCCCATCACCCAGGGGTCTTCTCGATCGATTCCAGGGGCCCTTGCCTAGCCCCTCACATTCCGATAAGTTCATGTTCTGGGCTCCCATTAGCGAGTTGCTCTTGATTCGGCATTTAAAGCTCCAGCGAGCGTTCTGATTCGGAGCCTGCCACCCTGAAAGCCCTGGGACCGGGGATCCACAGGCTTGCAGCCCCGGTTGCGCCGTAAGGGTCGACGAGCAGCCAGATGTGGTGCTAGGTGTGTTTTTGATCCGATGAAACGTTGTCCAAGCGCATTCAGCCCAAGTTGTTCTTTGCAGACTGCAGCAAGGAGCTTTGACAGGATGTAGGTATCGAAACTTGGACATGTCATAGGCTACCTGCGCCCTTTTTAACCCCCAAAAGGCATGGTGGGCATGCAGAGTGCCTGCGAGCTGCGGTGTAGCCAGGAGCTTCTGAAGGAGGAGGAGAAGCTCAGCGCGATGTTGGAGCCCAGACGAAATCTGAATTTCGGAGTCCCAGGAATCCCGCGGCCACTGCGCAAGATCAATCGGGCTCTTGAGAAGCTTGTTGGCGGATGATGTTTGTCCTCCCACCAAGCAACTTGGCGGCGGCCGGGCCCTTTTGGCGAGCTGGAGGTCGCATTCCGAAGCTGAAAGGGCAGTGGACGTGGATTGGTTAGACCACCATGACAAACTTGGTGGGGGCGATCACTGGTGGGGGTACCTTTTTTTTCTTCTTTTTCCGGCACTAAAATCCTCCTGCCTTCGCAAACAACTTCTTGCGGTTGAACGGGAGCAACCCTAGCTGCATTGTCCACCCCAGGCAAGCCATGGTAGGCGCCCCCAGAAAATTGCCCACTTAAGTTTCAGTTTTTAACTGGTGGTTTCCCTTGCTATCCTATTAACTTGCCTGCGAGCACTATAGCTAGGTCACTTGAACCCCCCGAAACCCGCAGTCCAAGCGAACCAAAAGTTTTGGCTCCGCGCCGTCGTTTGGCGCGCAGAGCTGTTGTTTGAGGCAAAGCCGCGCCGTGGGTTTGCTGCAGGCCCTGCTCAACAGGAGCTCGGGCTCAGCCAGACGTCGGTCCCATTTTTGGTCGATATGTCCCGTAGTCATTCGTCCATTGAACGAAGAAAATGGGGGAACTCACGAAATGTCCAACTAAAAACCAGAGAGCTGCCTCGTGTCCTTTTCGGGGAACAAGTTGTTTTGACCGTGGCTCATTTTATTGGCCTGAACAGGGGGGCAAAACGGAGACATGTTGGGCCATGTTGAACATGGATGGCATGGCTATTCGATAATGGAATTGACATGTGGCACACTCACCAAAATTGCCATAGGGGCTCGTTGTGGACGTTTGGGCCTTTTCAAGGATGGTAGTCGTCCAACCCCCCTCTTGTTCACTTCCGTGATTGTTGGACAGAGAGTGGCAGGCTGACCGGCCCGAATTGCTCACCTTGGGGTAGAGCCACAATCAAAATCCGGGTAGTTAAAGATCAAGGGACAGTTCCAACCAGAAATTGGCTCGGAGATACGCCCTTTGGATCCTTGACATAGGTGAGAGAGTTTTTGAGGCTCGGGCCCATCTTCGGAGGGAAGCCAGAGGGAAAGCTGTGGTGTTGTTGGCGTGGGGGGGTTCCCCCACTCACTCACTCAAGTTCGCACGGCCCTCTGAAAATTCCCCCCATTTTAGGGTGGACTTCTTTTTTTTCACGGATTTCGGTCATGACACAGTGGCTTTTGTGGGGGGGGGGGGGAGCGTCGCTGATTTGATGCCCAGACTTTGGAAGGTTTTCTAAGGATGGCCATCTACCATTCCATGGCTGCAACCTGATTCACCCGCCCCCCCTATTCCAGGGCTTTTGCCCCTCCTGCCAGGGTTTACCGGCTCTGGGGCCTGACAGTGGTGCCCAGTTCATTTGCTGGTGCTCACGGCTTCCATTGAAACCGGCTGTCACCATCCACTTAGCCCAGTTAACCTTGTGCCACATTGCCAAAGATCAAACCCCGCAATTGTGGGGGAAATATGGGGATTCCTACTTAAATAGGGCAATTTTAGTCGACATGTAAGAAATCTCCTTTTGCAGGAACCCTTTTTGGGTTCCTTCGGTTCATTTGCGGAGCAAACCGGGGAATGGGTCCAAAAAGGCGCAACTAAAGAGGCCCCTTCATAATTTTAGGGTGTTACGTGATATCCTCAAGATAGAGGGTTCCTGACAAAAGGTTTTGCAGGGAGCAAGCTTTTTTTTAGGGGGGGGGTCCCGAAAGGAGCCAGAAGGGTGCCTTAAGGATTCTGGGCAAACATAATCCAAAGCTATTTCGGGTAGGCGAAGGATTTTTTGGCTGCTTCTGACAGTGTAAAAGACGAGCGCTGAGCACTTTCGCCAGGAGTTGAAGCGACGACAGATGCTCACTGATACCATCCCTAGTAGGGTATGTTCCCGCTGGTTCGAGACATCTCCAAATGGCTTGTCTCAAAATAGGGGAAACCCACATGCTTTGTGTCCCTGTGGTTTTTCCCTTTAACCCAACCTCAACAGGGGTTTCCCTAAAAAGGACCGCACCCAAATGTCGGGGGTCATTGGCGAGCTGCCTTTGTGATATTTGCTTATCTTGGAGCCTGTGAAGAATGTGCCATTTGGCCATGGGTCAAAAGCCCGTACCCTCAGTGAACATCCCAATTCCCATCAAAATAAGTGGTGCACCTACCCCAAAATGGTACCATTGGTTTTGACCCACAGCCATATAGCCGTGTTTCCAACAGCGGGACATACCCAGTGATGGGCCGATGAGGGGCAAGGGGCCAGGATAGAAAGCGAGCGCCGGCTTCCGTCGCAGGTTGAGGCTCCGTGGGGTTTTTCATACCCCCAAATATGGGCTTTCCATGAACCACCCCAAAGGCGTTGCCAGACTTGGCTTTCTAACTTTTGAATTGTGTGGTGTTCCCATTGTCCCTTACAACCAGCAAAATGTTTTGAAACTCCTGTCTGTGCTGATGGTCATGGACCCCTGAGAGAATTGAAACCAAGGATTCCGACGGGAAGCATGACCAGCCAGTTTTGTCCATGGGCGTGTTCCTTTGAGTCGCCCTGTGATGTTTGGAAAGACCACGACTTTCGCACTCCAAGGTCGGAGGGTCGGTCCCCCGACACACCCAAACGGCGGTTTACCCTCTTGTCCCCATCGCACACACCATCCTAAAAGGGCCCCAAGAATTGTAAATCCCATTTGAATACCTCTGGATCCATAGTGAGCATTTGAGAGGCTCTCACAAGTGGTGTTCCCTCAATACCACAATTTAGAGGCTATCTTTGAGGATGTTACTTTAAATGGATTGTATGCAAATATTGAGCAATGAGTAAACAGTCTTGTTGCCCATGAGCAATGGTCAAAGCAGCTCAAAAGTTGGTGCCCGGGGTGCCATTGCAAGCACCAAGAAGTGTCGTGACTTTTCCAGAGCTTGCCGTTTGGTGCCATTTGCTTCGTCTGCGGCCGCTCTCCAGACATGAAGCAAGCATGGGGTGGCAACATGAAGAAAGAACGACATGCGCATGACTTAGGAGCGCCAAGAATTCAACGTGCCGCCAAAAGTGTGTGCCGCCTGCCTAGGTTGGAGGGCAGCGCAATGTGAGCCCAGTCAGCAATGCACAGCAATTCTACCGTGGAGATTCTTACGTGTCTCCATACCAAAAGGAGCCAAGCAAAAGGCTATTTGTATTTTGGGTCTTCTAGTCAACCATGCTCGAATTCTACGAGGGGCGAATCAGAGTTGAATCTTCTTTTTTGATTCAGCGGCTCGGGGCGCCCCTAATATGGGAAGCGCCTCGCCATAGACTACCCCAACACTCGCCGAAAGTTGACGGGGAGTAGGAATTGTTCGTTTGGGAACTTGGGCTTGTCTCAACATGGTGGAAGCCCAAAATGGGTTTGCTTTTGGTTGCACTGTAAAACAACCCGGGCTGTTCAAAGGATTTCCTGAATCCTCATGAGCGGATTAGGTTTTCTCGAGGAGAAACCTCGTGACCTTGAGAATAATTCCACCTCAGCCCTGAAGGTTACCTCAGCCCTGAAGGTTCCTTTCTTGGGAGTCCCTTATGTTTGGTTGCCCGATCGTTCTTCCCAAGGTGATCATGCCAAGTCAATCATCCCCCTGTCCCCCTGTCTTTTGGGTATGTTCCAAGAACAATAAAACCCACGAAATGAGGGGAGGGGGGGGGGGGTCCCTTTTGGTTTTCCTTCAATTCAGCCCAAAAAAGGGGCCAAGTCAGCTATGTCCCATGGCCTAGGCTTGGCCAAACCTCCACCAATCAGCCCATTTCCCCTACGTACCGGGCGGTGCAGCATGGGATGCGCGCTGCCTTGGCCAGGCACCCGGCTCCGTGCTGAACCGAACAACCCACCCGTTGGTGTGTCTTCAAACAGATACTTTCGGGACATGGGCTTTGGTTTGGCTTTAAAAACCGCCTACGCTCCTCGAAAGCAGTACGAAGCAGTGGGCCTCAATCGGATTAACCAGTCAGGGTCTTTCAACCGTGGAAACCCGCTGATTTGGATCAGAGCGGGCTCAGACCACTCAGTTTAAGCTGATGAATTGGTTGTGTTTTTTTCAAGACAGGCGAACACCAACATTGACATGTTTCTGTCAGGTTTCCATTTAAAACCACCCGAAACGGGGTGCACCATTTCGGGAAACCTCCGATGGGCTACTTGAGCGCTACCAATTTGCACATTAGGTGCTGGTCATTGCCAGCTGCGCAGGCGCGGCGAGGGTCCGGAGATGGGACACGAGAGTTTTGAGTTCATATCCTCCCAGGGTTGGTTTAAACGCAAACCAAAAGGAAGACCAACCATTCTTTGGGGTCCCCCAGTGGATGGGAGGATTGGCCAACTTGTTTGGACAAATTTGGGCCAAACCCAACAAAACCATTCAAAGTACCCTCACTACCCCAAGGTGTTCCTTTTGACCTTTGGTTGTCCATTGTACGGAATCCATTGTCATACATATATGCATAGATAGATACATACATAAATTGTAGATAGGTAGATGATAAAGATTGATAGATAGAGTCTAATATAATGGATGGATCGATGGATCGACGGATCGATGGATCGATGGATCGATGGATCGATGGATGGATCGATGGATCGATGGATCGGTGGATCGATGGATCGGTGGATCGGTGGATCGGTGGTCGATGGATCGATGGATCGATGGATCGATGGATCGATGGATCGATGGATCGATGTATCAATGGATAGATAGATAGATAGATAGATAGATAGATAGATAGATAGATAGATAGATAGATAGATATATAGATAGATGCGGACGCCATGAGTCAACATAGTGGCTATTGGGCCAGCCCATGCCAGATGCCGAGCTCACCGATCAGCGCTTGGACTCTTGTGACGGAAAGCGACCTTGAGGTCGATAGGAGTTGAGGTGAAAATAGTAGGGTTTGGGGGGGGCGAGGATAAGATGCTGGAGCTGGCGCTGGCTGGTGATGCGAGGAATGTTGGTTCATTGTGTTGACAGCTTGGCTTGATTTGTTCAAACAAATCTATGAAAAAGAACTCCTGTGCATAATTTAATTTTAACTAGAACAATTATGAATCAAATTCTAGTTTGAAATTGACATTATGCTTGGATTATTTCCTTATTAATCTATATCTGAATTCAGATAGAAATCGAGTAGAAGTTGATTAAGACATTATCAGAGGTCCAACAAGTCGTTGTTTGCCTAGCCTCAAGCACTACCATGGTCAGAAAGCATCGTACAACACAATGTGTTGTAGCGGTTTTTGTACCACATTCACATCATTGCCGCTCTAAAAACAAAGCACTATAATTTGAATATGAATTAAGTAGGACTCAATAAGGGCATGCTTGCTTGAATCCTAATGGGTATTCTATCTTTCTTTTGAGAATAGGCTCGCACTGGTAGCCCCCCCGCTTTCTGTTTTCCGAGCTGGTTTGCAGACGGGTTATGTTCCCTTGGCCTGTAGCCGCGTTTCGGGGCACATGTCAGGTCCGCGGCCGGTCAGACAGGTCCATAGTATGGCATGAGCATGTTTATTTGCTAGGGGTTGTCTCCAGGAGCGGTGCAGAAGAACTCGGCAGGGTTGTGCATGCCGCAAAGGGAAAAAAAGAAACAAGCAGGGAACTGCACAACTAGACCAAGCAGGCTGTCAATAGCTACGTTCAGCCACCTCACACGCACTTCCAACGGGAGAAACAGCGGAAACACCCGCTCTTGTATGGCTTGCCGAAAGCTGAGCCATGAGGGTTGTGAGCTCTGTGCCTTCACAGTCCCAAGGTGTCCTTGGGGCCATTGGCTTTGCGGTCCAACCTTCCATCGGAATCAAACTCTTAGAGATGCTCGAGTTGGCCTTTCCACCCCCTCGTGCCCTGTTATGGGAACTGATCAACTAAGATGGTATAACCATGGAAACCCCGGCTTTTTAAAGTATGCGCTGACAAAAAGACAGCCATGCCTCCCTCGCACCTAGAAGTCTTTGGCCGAAGCCAACTCGCCCCTGGTGCAGTTGTTCTTTTTTTGGGTCTGCAAAACGATGCTAGCTGTACCTTCCCCATTCTCACAGCTTGATAGAATTCTTCTCTTCAAAAGATGGTTTTCCCAAGGCCCTGAGAAAACGGATGGCTTCTGAAGAACGCGATGGGTGAAGAGAACATGGGAATCCCTGGCACCTACTTTTTCTTCGGCCCCTTCTGTTTGCCTTTGAGCGCACGAGTTCTAGACGAAGTTCCGCAAATTCCCAAGCAAGCCGGGAATTGAGTGAAACGAGCGGCCGCAAGTTTTTGTTCCATGAAAAACGCTTGCCAACGGGTCCCTATATTTCCCTTTCTCGTGGTGAAAAACATCGCCTTTTTGGCCCATGAAAGGTGAGTGTCCCTTGGTGGGGGTGATGTTTAAAGGGGAAATATAGGGAGCCCTGAACTGTCAGATACGAGCTGCTGACATTAAAGATTCTGCATCATCGATCCGATTTCTCAGAGGTGAACACGTAGCTCCCCAACTACCCAAAGTGTCCAGAACAAGCGTTGTCCATTTGGATTTGTCCGATTTGTTCCGTGCAGGTCTCGACGCGAGGAGAGACCAAGAGACTTGGGTCGCTGGGAGGTGAGGGACCATAGACAGCTCTCGCAATAATTTAGTCTGCGAACTTACGCATGGAGATTCCTTTCAGAAGGGTTTTCAGGTTTTTGGTTCGAGACAGCTTTGCTGCTTTGGCTTCGAGCCGAAAACCCAAATGATGGGGTTGAACACGACCACCCACCTGTATTGCGCAAGTTGGCTTTGTGCCGGTCATCGCTCCTGGAAATGAATTCAATGAGACCTTCGATCAAGGCAGCTGGAGCGGGGCATGTTTCTTTTTCTGGTCCAAAAGCTCACTCTGCAAACTAACATGGGCCCCAAGCCACTCCCGCGCCGGAAAAAATGCGGGGTTCCACCATTCATGGAGTGAGCTCCAAGAAAATCTTTGATCAAGCCCCCGAGCCCGAAAGCCGCGCAAAGCCCTTAAAGGTGGGCACCGGACCGAGTTCAAGCAGTCCAACCATGGTTGTTGTTGGGAAGCATTTTACATTTTGGCTTATTGTGGCTTAGTGGTTGAAATCCAACCACTTAACTGCTAAAAATTAAATTTGTTGCTCCCCTTCCAACGTCAACCAAGCAACCTGGACCCCTTCCTTTTGACTTCAAGCAGTCAAAATCAGAGCCTCCAACTTGGGACTCAACTGGTCGCCCCTTCACCTGAATTCTGGTAGGCGTTGGAACATTTGATGTCTTTCTTGGTGTTTGCAAAGTCAATGTAACTGAAGCAGACCACAGCGTGTGTGAGCCTTGGTTCTTCCATGTGCCTCCAAGGTGGCAAAAGGGTGCCGATATTGCCAGCTGAGTGTGTGTTTTTGTGCGGGTGCCATTTTCTTTCTTTGGGTGGCTTTGGAGGTTTCGCTTGGCGGTAAAACGGGTAAAACGGGCTTCCAGTTGATTGGTTGAAGGCAAACCCAACCTGACAGCCTCCGTCTTGCGCTCTTTCCGCACATTTGTTGACCCCTAGTCTTAGACCGTTTATTTCCCCAAAAGGAGAACCCCTAGGTTTGTGTCTACCTTGTGGCAATCACACCCTGAAATCCTGTTGCCGGCGACACCGGCGCAGGATCCCCGATGGAGATGCCAACTCGTTCATCTCCTCGGCCTGTGCCTCAGGGGCCTCGGGGTGTCCTGCAGGGTGTCCTCATCCCAGCAGTGTGAGCCACGATCACAAACCAAAGGTTAGGAGACAATCCCAAGCACAACTGGGTGCTCTTTTAATTTGTTTCATTGAAATGGGTGCACAGAATATCCGCTCTTTGGATGTGCTTAACATGGTTTTTGTGTAGACCCTTTTGTGCTAGGTTTTGATTGTGGTTGTGGGGGCACCGAAAGCCCAAGACTACTGGGAGTCAGGGCGGATCCCGAATCAAGTCGATACACAGCTTGAGTCTCAGTTGTTCAGTGGCACCCTTTTTCCATTTTTTTTGGTGGCTGCCCCACTAAAAATGGTTTTCCCCAAAAAGGGTTCCTTTTTTTTCATTGTCAGTGAACAACTGAGGAGTGGAACAAATATAGGCGACACTTTCCCGCTTGTAGTTCTGCACAGCCCCCTGAACGGGTACAACGGGGGTCGCGAGGCAGTCAAGCGCCCGAAGAACGCCCGGGCGCGGGCCTTCAATCGGAGCTCCCACGTGGACTTCTTGCTGAAGCTGGCTTCAGCGGCTCATCAAAAGATATGGGATGCTGTGTGTTTGAGTAACCTATTGTAGGGTTGGTCTAAAGGAAAACAAAGATCACGCCCATTTGCTTGGGATTGGAATGGTCTTGGATAGGGTTTGAGACCGGGTGTTCGATTTAATTCCCTGCAAACACACATGACAAGGGTTCCCTCAGCAAAAACATAGCCCATGTTTTGGATTGCCCCTCATTTTAAAACTCTTATATACATCCAGTGCTCCCTTACCACAGATTGGATCCACCCGACTTCGACCAATACGGTCATCATTCACTCACACACCTGGACGGGTCGGCAGATCCTGGCCGACATAGTACGTTGTTGAAAAATGAGCTGCTCAGGGAATCGGGTTCTTTGTGATAAGAGAATCCCAACTTGAATGAGTACAAGACGAAGCCAGAAGAGTTCTTTTTTTTGAGCCTGTCTCCAGCCAGTAGGATAACAGCACATTTTGTTGACTTAGCTTACCCTTTTGGACCTCGTACCCTTTTTTCCAAAATGGTACCTTTGGCGACACTGTAAGTCCTTTTCGTTGAACAAAAAGGCCTGAACCTTGTTCCACCTATTTCTTTGCCTGGTGCCTTTCACCTTGCGCATTTCAACAAAGAGGCCAACGGAGAACTTGTGGCAGTCGACGTCTGAGCCTGGCCGCCTGGCCCAGAAGCGAGCCCGAAGCGAGGCGGGGACCCAGCAGCGCTGGCAGCAGTTCCTCCAGCGGCGCCGCGCCTGGCCCCTGGAGCCGGGCGCGCTGCGCCGCGGCGCCCCGCAGCCCCAGGCCCCGACGGCTCCAACGAAGTTCCGCCGACGCCGAAGACTCGGGGCGCGAGGGCCTGGGCCGAGGGTTTTGGTGAAAAGGTTTGCGAACAATATGTTTTTAGCAGGGCTCCTTAAAAGAAATTCATTTTGCGACCAGTTGAGAGACATGGTGTGCTTTTCTTCTCACCAAAAATTAAAGTTGGAAGCCGCCATTTACAAGGCGATGTTCAGGTGTAGAATGTAAGGATCCCTGTTTAAGGATAAAGGGGGGTGTCATGGTTAAGCAACCTTTGGGTAGTGACTTAGTGCCTTGGTTTCCAGCCTTTGACACAGAGTCTTCCTCCTGGCGGAGCCCGCAAGAGGCAAGTCCCGAGCTTGAGACAGCGGCACGCCCCACTAAACCAAGTTCGCAGAGCCACTTAGAACGTGACACCGTTGCTCCAGAACGGCAGCAGCGCTTTGCCAAAGCGCTTTGCAGAACTCTTCGCAGAGCTTCCCTGCAAACTACGCAAGTAAAGAACCTGCTTCGCAGAAACGCGCAGAGGAGCACAGTCAACTTCCCCCTTTCTTTTTCTCCGGAAGTAGGCTCCCGCACTTCGGGAGGACAATCAGAAGTAGAGATCTAAAGGGGCTTGGGTAAAACGATCCTCAACATTGCTGCCATTGCCATTGTAATGACTCCTTTCAGGAAGCGCCACTTTGGAGAATGCAGCCAAACATAAATCCCTATGCCAAGAGTCTGAAGGATTGCAATGGTTTGCCTATTTGTGTTGGGTTTCGAGCTCACCGATCCGGAGTACAACGCGTGAAGATCCATAATGTGGGTCCTTACTCGAGGATCGCTTGTTTTTGGCTTTGGACAAATTGTAAAGTTTGCTGAATTTATCCTTTCACTTCATTCACTACTGCTGTAGCTTGAGCTATTGACTATTGAGCGGCAAGGCCGACAATGCTTTGACAACATCACACATCAGCCCAGCCCAGCTGCAAAGCAGCATGTCTCTTCCTGTCGTGGACCTCATCATGGCGACTCCCTGCAACTGCGCATAGCGACTGCGCATGAAGCACTTGGCATCTCACGATGGTCGCTATGCCCCGCCAAAAGAGTCTTCCAACCTTCTGAAAGCCGTTCTTGAGCTGGTTGACAGACCCCACCCTGTTTCTTTGAAAGAAACATCAGACATCAACCAAAGCGAAACCAACAAGGAGCACGAAATGCTATGTAGAGGGGGCCCCATGTAAGACACACCCTTTGTGTTTGTTTGTTGTGCGGACAGCAGCCGTCGTCAGGATCAGCTGCTGCCGCCCTTGCGCCCCTGGCGGCGAGGGTTTGGGCGCCTTGATGTGCCTTTGGTTTCCCTGTGCCATTCCGAAAGGGTTCCCTTGTTTTGAGACGAACCAATCTAAGCATTGATTTGGGATTGTCGTTTTTAGAGTGTTTGTTTTTAGAGTGTTTGGAAAACTTGTAAATGGCACTTGGCTCTATTCATTTGCAAGTGCCGCCCCGCTTTCTTCGGTGGGGTTCTTCTTTCAACGCGGCCCCAGGGTCGCCCAGGTGTTTCGCCATGATTGGGTAGTTGGATTGTCCATCTCGTCCATCTCCAGGTTTTCCATGTAATGTGTTTTTCTCAGTCACCTATGGTAGCTGAAAGGACTGGGGGAGCAAACAACGGAGCAGGCCACTGGGCACACGCATGGGAGCCTTGGATGTGAAAACGATTCTTGGTGCCATCAGGTGACTGTTGGGAGTTCCCATTTTGGATTTGGTTGCCCCGACAAACATATCAACATAGGAACACTTTAGAGCCTCCGGCTCAGTCCGCCGACATTGTCCTCTCCCTTTTCTCCTTCTTCCTCTCTCCCTTGTCTCCCTCGTGTGTTCTGTCGTGCTCTCTCCCTCCCTCTGCTCCCCATCCTCCCCATCCCCCCAAGCCTCTCTCTCCTCAATCTCCCTCTCTCTCTCTCTCTCTGTCTCTCTCTCTCTCTCTCTCTCTCTTTCTCTCTGTTTCTCTGTCTCTTTCTGTCTTTTTCTGTCTCCCTGTCTCCTTCCTGTCCACGCCCCTCTACAGAAAAAGGGTTCCCTAATTCGAACCTCTCTACTCTCTCACTTTCTCGCTCTTTCTCCCTGCCTCTCGCTCTCTCTCGCTCTCTCTCTCTCTCTGTCTTTCTGTGTCTCTCTTTCTCAGTCTCTCTCTCTCTTTCTCGCTCTCTGTGTCTCGCTCTCTCTCTCTCTCTCCTGCTCTCTCCCTGTCTCTCTCTCTCTCTCTCTCTGCATTGCAGCGTCACGTCCCCCCTGAGTTGCCTCGATGTCCGGGCGCTGCCCCTTCATGACCCTGAACTGTCATCTCACTACTGGCTTTCCCCTTGATTTCCCCTTCATGTCCTTGACACGTTTCCCATGATGTCCTGGTCATGTCCTTTCAACTCCCCTTCATGTCCCTGACATTTTCTCGGTATGTCCGCTTCATTTTCCATGTATGTCCCGTTCTTTCGTTGCGAGTCATTTCCCTACATCTCCCGTCGTGCCGATTGGTTTCCTTGTGCTTTGTTTCCCTTTCATTCCCCCTGTCCCTTTCATGTCCCTTTCAGTTCCCCTTTGTTTCCCTTTCATTTCCCGTTGCTTTCCTGTCATGTCGACTGCCTATTTCCTCCCCTCATTTCCTTGCACTTCCTTGCATTTCCCCTTTGCTCCCCAATATGTGCCGCAAAAAACACGGTTTTTCTAGCGTTTTCGCAATTAGGACGTCCAAAAACACAGAGTTTTTCCAGATTTTCGGCAAAAGGAGGCAGGAACCCCAAACCAGCAAAGAGCCGGCAGGGGGAATCAAGCCTGGGACCCCTGTTTTGCGACACCGGCTCCCCGAAGACTACGTTTAGTGGAACGTCATCAAATCGCGCCAGAGGTGTACCCACCATATTGTGGGTAGAGGCCCATGTTACTCTGCTGCCATGGACCCCCTTTGTGCGTTCTGGGTTCAGGCCCAACTCCAACTCCAGGCATCCCTTGTGACGTGTCCATTCTCAACGCGTGTTTGTTGAGGGTACCATTTTGGACTATTCCAAGGGGAGCCAAAAGAAACCCATCATGTTGGGGATTGGGCCTCTATTTTGAGACACACACACAAACAAGTCACCCGTTCGGTAGGTCCATGAAAGGCCCCCCCCCCCCAAGACTCTGATCCTCCGAAGCAATCCAAAGCCCAGAGGTCCGAGAGGTTCAGTCGTTTCCAAAAATCCGAACACCAGATCGAAAGTTTTCCAGGTGCCCAGAGGGTTTGCCCAGAGGGCTTGCCGCCGCAACGCGCGCCGTGCGGAACCAACTCATTGCGACAGGCACACGCTGTCACCGGTGTGCTGGAATGCGGATTGGTCGCCTTCGGACTGCTGTTTCTTTCAGCCCATGGACACGGCGCTGGGGGTGTGCTTCGCCAACGACACGGCGCCTTGCCCGGCTGGTTGCACCCCAGGCACCCGTTGGAAAAGTGTTCGATTTTTGCTCTTTTGTTCGATGGGGCTCCCTTCAAATTCAACCATCAAAAAAGGAGTACCCATTCGTTGCATGAATCCTGCTAGACGCCTTGAGCCTTTTACACCTTTTACGATATCAAAGTTGGTTTAAACCAAGGCTTTGGTCCTTTTTCACGTTCCTTCGGTTCACCAGGCACCAGAAGAGTGATTGCTTAGGGGAGGATGCTCTCTCAGGCCAGCAAAAGCTCTGGCCCCCAACGCCTGCATTGGGTTTGATTGAGTTTTCCGGGTGGGGAGGCTGGGTCTCCGTGAAAATCGGACCAACCGCCCCCGATCCACTCCGAGGACATGTTTATGGACTGCTGCCCCTGGGAGACCGTGGAGGAGCAAGTCCTGTGCATTCTCTGACGCAGTGGATCTAATGGGGCATGCCTCCTTCATTTCAGCTCACCGATCTGATCCAAAAGCCTCACATGGGCCTTACTATGTAGGCTGCAATATTTGCAGATGGGAGGGTTGTCCAAGATGGGCGCCGTGGGAATCAATCACTTGACATCTGACTGCTGAACTTTCAGACTTTGCAGGGGTTGCTGTGTTCTTTGCCATTCTGGGCGCTGCATGACCCATGAGTTATTTCCCCCTCATAGCGCCACCTATATCAAAGGAACCCATGGCCATTGATGTCGTGTACCGTCCATGTCTACGTAGATGACCTCACGCCTCCCAAATGATTTACGAAAGACACACCCCAACAGGGCGGTCCACCTTGCCTTCTTCGCTGAAATCTATTGGTTCGGTTGATCCCAAAACAGAGTCCGTGGTTCATTGGCGACTGCGACAATGTTGAGCTAATCTACGTAGTGGGGAGCCAACTCATTTGCGCTATTGGGCCAATACATTGACAAGACCATAATCAGGAACACACATTTCAGATCATTTCAGAAATTCTTGCAATTTCGGGTACAGCCATGTCATTTCCTTCGACATGGTGGACGCAATCGATGGCTGGCAGCCATCCCATGTTCTTTTTGTTAAGTTGAAGCAGGAGATGCAATCCTCGATGCTGGCCTGCGACTTGTCCCCGGACAACAGCTCCTGGCGCCAAATCCAACGCGCCTTCGACGGGCGGGGCCCCTCAGTTCGCGAGCGCGCGCCCGCTCTCTCGCGGCCCGCCGCTCGCGCGGCTCGCTCGGCGGGTCATCGCTGTAGTGAAGATCCAAATTTGACCCTGGCTGTCCCACGCTCTGCTGTTCACTGCAAAAGCATGTGAGCCACAATCAAAACCTGGCTAGATGAAGGTTTGTAAGGGACAATCCCAACCAAAAATAGCTGCGGCCGCCTTCTTGATTCTTTACATGGTTCTGGGTCAATCATTTTAATACCGGGTTTTGATTGTGACTCATGTGAAGGGCTGGGAGCTTTCAAATCCACACAAATGTGGTTGCATGCGCGTCACTTTGCCAATTGATGGCACATAGGGCCATAGGGTTGAAGTTGGGGCATCGGCACCGGCAGATGGGCCGTGTCCTTTCCAAATCCAGCCTTTTGGAACCATTATTCATGGGTGTGTCTTCTTGGGGACATCCTGCGGATTGCGGATCAACAACCTAGTTTACATTATGTTAGCAAATCGATTTTCCCATGTTTTCCGAAATTCCTAGTGGAAAGGGCCTGTGCAAAAAAGGATTGTGAAACAGTTCCAGGAGTCACTTGAGTTGCCCATGTTCGTGGTGTCGTCCAAAACGATTGTATTTTTACACCACACATGCAACAGAATCACCGAATATCATCAACTATTATCAGTTGGAGTTGTCAGAATCTGTTTCTTTGATCCCCAAGACTCACACCGAGTCCGAGACTGAGGTGTGTGGGGCCGGACGAGGCCAGGTGCCTGGAGCAGGTGGCCCTGCGCTTCCCGCTGCACCACGACCCCCTCTGCGCCATGGGCGCGCCTCGACCGCGTCTTTTGGAGCAAACCGAAGCGGGGGGCGCATGTGGTCAGATCTGGGTGGGTCCTGATTTTTTTTGAGAAGGCGCCCACTTTCGTTGGTGGGAATTTGAGGAAAACCCATGCCTTGACTCAGAGGCTGGACGCGTGTGGTCAGATTTTGGGGGTTTATAAATTATTTTCGGGAGTTGGTGACCCCGTTGTTGGTGGGTTTAAAGGAAAACCGAAAGGAAAGCCGAAAGGAAAAACGCCATGTTGTTTTTGTGTTTGTGTTTGGGGGGGTTGTCTCTAAGAAAAGAATGCTCAGACCCACAGATGAGCGTCTCAAAATAGAGGAGACCCAAAAAGGAGCCAAGATTCTAGAGGGTCGGTCTTTTGAGAAACCCCCATACTATGTGGGATCTCTTTTGTTGTTGCTTTTGCGGTAAAATTGAAACAAATGCATGTTCATCAGGTTCACTGAATATGGACCAGAATCAATCACCTTTGTTTGCTTGTTGGAGGCGAAAGCGGGTGGAAGCAACATGGGTGTCTTTGGAACCTACGGGCCGTAGATTTCAACTCGGAACCCCTGGATGAGCATTTTTAAGTAGCCATGCCACTTTTGGTCCACCGGCATCTGTGATGAGGTTCCCTATTCGAATTCGTGGTCGCATAGGAGTGTCTTATACGGAGGGGGGTCTCATATTCATTTCCAACCAAAGGGTGTTTGCAGGGCTCCCCTTTGAGAACCACCTCCAAGGGGGTCACCATACCCAGTAGACCAGTACTCTCCTTTCCTTTGTGGAGTTCTTTCTGACAACCAGCAAAAAGACGAGAGTTCACGTCTCGCTTCCTTTGATAAGATGCTTTTAGTGTGGGGAACGGCAAGTTAGTTCTTTGGCCTGTCGCTAGTCTGCGATCCCCATGGGTCTGCATTCCCCCACGCTTTCTACGGTTCCCAACGGTTCCCCATATATACTCTTGGGTGGTTACTCCTCTGAAAGTTAGTAGGGAAGTCCTTTCCCCAGTCTCCCAACATACGTTTTAGGCTGAGATACCTCTGGGGTGTTGCCGTTGACTATTTCGGTGGCCACAATTCATGAAAGTCAAAGTGGCGACGGAGGGTTTTGGAGGACATTTGCAAGACTGCAATCCTGTGAAAAGACCCCTTGTCCACACCCATTGCTGGAAAGAGGAAACGAGCGGTTTCTCGACCTGGTCCAGATTTTTGAGCGTCTTTCTCTTCGTGTTGGGGGGATTTTCCTTCCAAGTCAACCCAACACGAGGTGCCGAACGGTTTTTTTTTCCCTGGGGAAGTCCGCAGGTCTAAGGCTCAGCGCAAGTCGCAGGCGGCCATTGGGGGCATTTTCCTCTCGGCCCACAAGCCCTACAACGAGTTCGAGGACTCCAACGCGATTCTGCCGGATGGCCGGATGCAAGGACCGCGTGCCGAATCCGCCGACGCCGGATTTGGATTTTGGATTTGGCTGCTCGTGGGTTGGGGCTGCAGACTTGCACTGGTCGGCAAGAAAGGTGAGTTTCCCATGGGGCAATACCAAGAACTGTGAATTGGTGGAAACCATCACAGTGTGGCCCCTTCTTTCAAGGGAACTCCGACATGAGGCTGTTGGAAAGAAAGGGAGCCTTTGGGGCACGGCGTCACAAGGAAAGCCAGCGTGAAACTTTGGAGCGTGTCGTTGACAAAGGCCATGGGCCTCCGACAGGATTTGATGAGTGCCTTCTCTATGGCATTGATCAGGCCGATGTTTTCGCAGCCGAGCGGTTTGGTGCAAAAAGCGAACCCCTCCATGGGCCGGGGAGGAAAAGGGGCGCTTCAAGAGTTGTTGGGCTTCTATTTAGACGCTGAAAGGGAGCAACACAGTAGCTCAACAGCCCATTTCTGAAGGGTGCGTGAAAGCATGCCTTTTAACTGGGATGGGCAGCACCGCTCCCTGCGCAAAAGAAGGTGTGTTTCGGTCCCTTGCTAATTAACAACCCTTCCATTCGCCCTCAGGCAAACACGCACAAGATCATAAGATCTTTGTGTTCAATATGTCCTTCTAAAAATCTAGATCCATCCAAAAGAACACATACAGCCGCGCACTTCTCAAGCAAGTGGCACCTGCTTGTCACGCACGGATGGAAGACGAATTACTCCAACTGCGCAGTGGGAGTGCAGGGAAATTCGAAACACCAGGCCCACAAAGCCGCCCGAACCGGAAACGTTCGTTGAAAGAACCATAGGTTCCAGTTCTGATCGAAGGGTTTTTATCGAACCATGGAGTTGCTCCATTTCCTATGGCTTTTGGTTCGTTTCCTTTTGGTTTCCCCCAAAGGTTTCCGTTTCCCAAAGTACCAACCAAAAGGAGGTCTACTATTCTGAGAAACACGCGACTGTCCATGCGCAAAAATTCAACACTGCCAGGCGAGCTGCTGCGTGAAGGTTCGCTTCTGCAAGTGCAACTCTCATCCGGCGGACAACGTTGGGTGCAACCTAGGCGCCGGCGATTCGGCGGTTTTTTTCACAGAAATCCAGCTCTACTTCCCCTTGGGGCAAAAAGAAACACCTTTTGCGGCAATTTGAAAGTGAACAATCCACGGGTGATGTAGGAGGAAACGAGTTGGGAGCCCATTTTCAGGGGGAAGGCCACTTTTGCACCCCCCAACATCACTGAAAGCTCAGATACCTTTGTCCTCTCCATCTTCTCTCCCCACCCTGCTCCCGCATCTCTTCACTCTCCATTCTATGTTGTAGGTGAAAGGCATGTCAAGGAAAGCAAAATCGAGAATGATCGGAGACAATAGGAGCGAGAGCCCTCATCTATATCTCATCCCAACTCTCTATATTGGAAACGGAGGTTGGGTGATGACTGAGGAAGGAAGAGATGGAGACAGGGAACCGTTCCTTGTCTTTCAAGCTCTATCACTCCATTCTTACGTCTGTTTTTTTCCCTGTCTAGTGGAAGGGCAACGGGTCATCCACACGGCTACGTGTTGGCTGTCCTGTCCGAATTGTCGGGTTGTCGAGAGACATGGGGCTTGGGGCCCAACAAGAGGGCTGTGACTTGGACTGCCACATTTTACGGCACCCCTTTGGACGGCTTAAAACCGGAAATCCAAAGAACATCGTCGGAACATTGTGGAGCTGATGTGCTTGGGAGGACATGTTGCTCAACAAGTTTAAAGTAGTTTCTTGCTGTTCCGCAGAGACCGAGTCCCACTAGTCTAGAGAAAAAGACAAGCACCTGAGACATGCTATGGCGACAAACAAATCCTTGGTTCACAAAGCCCATGCTTCCCGGGGACTGAAGACACACCCTTCGTCTCTTTTTGGAAACCGAAGCCAACTCGCGGCCCAAGTCGCATTTTTTTCTGGAGCCCTAACACCGAAGCCCATCGTTCGAGGGCACTCTCCATTGGCTCATACGCGGCTTCGTACATGGGTTCAAGCATTCATACATCCAGCCTTGAACCTTGTGTGACAGGATGAAACAACACAAAACCAACTGCATGCCAAGCTTCCGGATTCTCCTATGTGCTTTTTCGGGTAGGGCGATGGGGGCAGTGCTACGTAATGTCATAGGAACCAGCTAGAGGGACGTCTGCAAGAAAGTTCGCAAGACATGCACCTCAAGCATGTTCGTTTTGAAAGTCCGTTCGAGGAGCCCAGGAAATCCTCTGAAACACAGCTAAGAAACCAGACCAAACAATGCTACAGGACGTAGCCATGGAAGCCAGCTACATGAAGTTCGGGAAGTTGGCCACCACCGAAACCCGGGGACAGGGATCTTGGCGAACTTCTCAGATTTCCGCTGGTCTTTGATAGGCCCTGAGACCGAAAATGAGACAGCTTTTCCATTACACCAAACCAAATTGCGAACCATCTTTTGGTCAGGGCTTGGAGCGGTGTCCTTGATCAGCCATCCTTGGCTTGTGGTCTTTCAGGCGTGGCGGTGGAGTGTGCCATATGCTTGATGCTCATCCCTGCGGTGCTGCTGAAGCAGTCCGGCTGGGGCAAGTGCCTGGGAAAGCAGCGGTGGGTCCGCTTGGGGCAATGTTTGTAAAGCGGGGGTTCTCTACATCTCCCCTGGACCGGGTCCAAACATCGCCTTTTTGGGCCGATTGAACATGAGCGGCCTTAGGGTCTGGTTTTGAGGAAGCAAGGAGACTCGGGCGGGGACCAACCCACCTGAGCCAGACCTTGTTTTTTTATTGTTGTAAAGCGAAAACAGGAACACGCTGGAAACATACCTCTTGCAGACAAACCCACGCCATCAGACCTGAGCCATTTCGTTCAGTGATACCCCTTTCCCCCCTCTATTTGGTGAGGCTTCCCCACTAAAAGTGGGGAGCCCCAAAAAAGACATGGTTCCCTTTCCCTACCATGGCCACTGGGCAACTGGTGAGGATTAGTTTGTTTGCTTTTTAAAGAACCGCCCTCCTGGTGAGGACGTGTTTGCTTTTTAAAATGAACGTGAGTTTGTGTTAAAGGGAAGCCAGGAACCGGCCACCATGGCCACTGGGCAACTGGTGAGGATGCTCGCGTGGATCGTGGAGGACCTGCAGCGCCTTTCCATCGGCCGAAGCATCGGCCGCCAGACCGCTGAGCCCACAGAGCTGCTGAGGTGGGGCGGTGGGGGGGGGGGGCGCTCTCTTTTGGCTGTCCTGTGCCTGTCCTGTGGCTTTCCTTTGGCTTTCCTTTGGTTTTCCTTTGGTTTTCCTTTGATTTTCCTTTAAACTAGCCTTTAACAAGGGGTAGCCCCAACAAACATGACCTTCTGTTAGTGTTTCATGTTGGCCTTGTAGGTATTCAAGGGAGCCACCCCTTAAAAACCCAACAGCATGATGTTGGTTCCAATGGTGGTGGATGAGTTTTCTGCAAACGGGTGTGAGCTATGTGTCACAAGTAGGGGAACCCCCTTCCCCCCCCCCTCCCCGAAAGAAAAGAAAAGTGTTTGGTTTTCCTTGGGTTCCCTGAAAACTCACCTGAACTGGGTTCTCAAACAACGAGGCACGCCCAAATCACGCCCAGTCCCGCGGCGACAGGAGCGCCGTTTGGGGCCAGAGCGGCGACAGCCACGCGGCGCTGCTGCGGCTGAGCAACGCCTCTGGGCCGCTGGGGGAGCGAGCCCTTGCAGCAAAGTGACACACTGGTGGGGGGGCGGTGGGTTTGTTGGGTCGGGTGGGTGAAGTGGGGTGGGTGGGGCGCAGCAAGTGTTTGCAGCGCTTCCCCGAGTATGCACTTCCCCTTGATTGAGCTGGACCAGCGCCACCTCGCATGGTTGGATGACCGGAGGTTAACGAGAACACCGTTACGCAGTGCAGTTTGAGAGACTTGAGAGGGCCCCCATTCACTGAGTCCGCTCGCAAGAACAAGCATGTTGGTGACTGTGCCAAGTGCTACGCTTGCTTTTGCGCCGGCGGACATAGAAGCAGCGCTGAAGCCAATCCTGGACTGTCCGAGACGTGCTTGGCTTCTTGGACAAGCTTTCCCTGGGCCTGCGTTCGAGGACCAAGAAGGTCCTGAAGAGGCTGCCACCAGCAGACAGTGTGATCCCTTTGAATCCTCGCGTTGTACCCTAAATCCATCTTCAGTTCGGCACGGGTCAGACGGTGTTGTCAAACACGTCGCTGCATCCCTCATCAACTGATTCAGATCTGAAGCACTGAAGTTGGGGGGCCACAGGGTTGGTTGTTTCAGACCACTTTTGGAGGGGTTTTCACCCCCCTACTAATGGGACGGATTTATTAGTCCTGGGTCAACATGAAGTGAATCGCTGAGTGGGTGTCTTTACCCAAATCCGAGCGGCTGAGGGCTGTCGGGCGCCGTGGTCGAGGATTTCTTCACCCAGGCCATGGCGAGCCGGAACCCCATGGACGCCTGGGCCGCGTCCATCGAGACAGGCCATGGGGAAGTGGAAGTGTGGAAGATGGAGGGGATCTGAAACCGAATGTTTCTTGTCTCTTTTTTTCTATCAGAAGATATGAAGCAGAAACCTGTGTTTTTTTTGTTGAGAAGATATGAAGCAGGAAGACACCCTTTGAGCACCAAAAGGAAAGTGTCTTGAGTCTTGCGTATACTATGGCTTGCCTGGGATCCACCGGGGGGTCCTCCAAATTATTTCTGGCGGTGTTTGTCTTGACGACCAATCGTGTAGGGGGATTTGTTTCAATGTTTGGACTTCCCCTTTTGTGTGGACCAAGAGAGATGGGGAGATGGGGGACACTTCCGAACCCTTTAGATTAGAATTCAGGGGTTTTCCTATCATGCAGGACCCGCATGTAATGGGCCGCTTCTTCCATTTGCCTTGCGAATCCAGAGCTGGGTGTTTCTCAGAAAGAAGCATGAAGTTTCATGCAAGACACCATAAACAGTGCAAGGGAAACACCACCAATTAAAACTCAAAGTTGGAGAAGCCCAGGTTGAATTCGAGTCCGTTTGGGGGGTGGCTTTGGAGCCAGCATTGCCACTGCACTGTTGCACTGATCGAACAGCTAAGCACCATGTCAAGCGGAGTCTGGTTTGGGGCTTGCTCAGAAAATGTTGACTCATCTTGAAGTGCTTTTGGTTCCTCGGAAGCAACGGAAGCCGGAGATGATGGCCTTGCAATTAGGTGGGTTGGTGCTGAAAAGGAGTTTGTGGCGCCATTTGGCGCCATTTCTGGGGTGCTTCGAGAATGTGTTGAAAGCCTGGAGTTCGCAGACCCATCTTGCATTAGCACCTGCATGGGGGCCAGCTAAGTTTCGAAATGCAAGCTCTTTGGGTTGTCTACCACCTGCCTCACATGTTGTATCCGAAGCTCGCCAAAAGCCTCCGGCCCCAGCCAGCAGGCGCAAATCCAAAACCAGGCGGTTTCCGGGACCGCATCTGAGTCCCTTGGTGCCGTCAGCGCGCCAAAGACTTCTTAGGAGCTGAGGCTTGGCTTTGCCTGGCAACCCCCAGAAAATACCCACCAGGGAGAGGGGGGCGCGAATATTGACTGCGCATCTCTCAGGCCAAAAGCAGCCGAAGTTGAATGATATGCAACAATTGCCGCTTATGACAGGGGTGTCCCGGTTTACCAACCAAGCACGAAACAGGTGTTGAAGCTCCAGGTTGGTGTTTTTTGTAAGCTGAAGTCGTATTCTGCTCTTTGGATCCACCTGAGTTTAGCATTTCAACCTCTCGGATCAAGGAGAAGCTTCCAGCCATGAGCTAGCCGAACATGTGCAACTTGCTATGGGTCAAGTTTCAGCTCGGCACTGTCATGATTTTCACTGTGGTGTGTCCAAGTCAGAAGGGGCCGCTTCTCTTTAACTTGTTCAGAGGATTCTGCTTGGCCAGGTTGCTCATCATGCTATTTCCTTAATGGGGTTCCTGCAGAATCAACGTACAGGAGAAACATCGCAGGTCTGTGTCACACTAAAGGTCTAGATGTTGGCTTGCTCTTTTGTGCCTCACTTTTGTTCAACTCTTTCGGATTTGGTTCCTTTGACATCCACCAACGAGAGAAGGTCCGCTCCCAAAGCGGCATTTTCACTGCAACCCTGGGGGAAGTCGAGCAACGGTTCTAAGTCCCCCAGTAGTGCCCTTCTACTCTGTTTTGGGGGAGGGTTCCCCTACTAATTTTAGACTACAAAAAAATAGGGTACCAACTTATTCTAACCTCTCCACTGGAGGATCTAGTTGCTCAGTTGGTCAAAGCGAATCGACCTTTTTGGACCTTTTGGTTTTCCCTGTTGGTCCATGTTTAGTCCTGGCAACCCAAGATGTGTTTGCCGCGCGCAGGCGTGCTGCAGGCGCTGGCAGATTTCCTGAAAGCACCACGGGCACCGCACGGTCGGCGCCCGCCGGTGCCGATGAAGCGGCTGGAGGTCGCCTGGTTTCGCACCGAACTCGTGGGTTACTCCCGTGGTTTCCTTCTAAAAGAAGGCCCTTGTCTTCCCATGGCCACTGCAGGTTTTGGGACGAAGCTCTTGGAAACGTTCCGAAGGGTTTACGGTTACTGAAACCTACGGTTTGACTGCAATTCCCAGGTTTCTTGGAGTATTTCCCATGAGTTGCGGAGGGAACGACCCTTTGTCTTCACGTGCTTCATGTTCCTCAATGGTACACACTCCATAACATATGATTGAGCACATTTGGTCAAACTCTGCTCCACATCCACATTGTCCAGCGTTTCAAGCTACAAGCTTCTCTTATCCAGCACAGTTTACACCATGAGAGTATGATCAAAGTATTTTGCGGCCAGCTGTGGTAGTTTTTCACATCTGTGAGAAGCAAGCCTCCAGTTCGAGGCCTGTCAGTCACAAAACCCGGTGGCGGATCTAGGGGGTTTGGCATCTCGCGGGTCCTCTTGTTTTTCTTTTCTGGGTGCCATGGACACTTAGAGCTTATTCTGCACCAAGAATTTGAAAACAAAGCAACTTTCTTAAACAAAGTGGATGCAAACTAGACTATACCCCAGTCACTAGTGTCCATCATCAGGGGCATGCTGGGCATGATTTTGCTGGGCTGCTTTAGGTTTGTCAGTGAATTTTGTGCCCACCCTGCATTTTGCCTCACAGGGGTCCGCGCTGAAAATGGTCAATTTCAAAACACCATTTTCTACGACGGTGACTGGGCGTTTGGGTGGGGGCTCGCATGGGTCTGAAGATATTCCGCTCTTGGGGTGTTTCAATCATCACCTTTGGTTGCCCTTGTCGATGGAGCTTCCTTTGGGGTGATGTTCAAAGGGACCCCTGTTTGTCAATGGCCAGAAACAAATCCCAGGTGGGCGGGTAGGGCACAGTCACAGTCCCCACTTGTGTGTTGCATGGTTTTTGGCGATTTCGCTTATCCGTTTGAAGCGGAAGTTGGATCCCTATGTGAAGCTTGAGGCCGTTGAACATATTTTCATTGTTTTGACCTCGCTTCCTCTCTTTTTTGTGTGGATTTGTCAGAGTTCAAACTTGTTTTGGCCAATGGAAGTGTGTCTGTGAAGACAAAGGGGTGAAAGGACTCTTGAAGACTGACCACTGGGGGGGGCTGCGAGGCTCAAGCAGCACACAAAGACTGCTATCCCACTCATAACATCTTCAAGTATCATTTATTCCTTTATTCCCAGTTGTGTGTGTGTGTGTTGTTTGTTTCTGAGTGAGAGTAAGCGTGAGTGTAAGTGTAGAAGCGTAGTCTGTGTGTCTGGGTGTCTGTACGGTCGTGTGTGTCCGTGTGTTTGTGTGGCTGTGTGGCTGAGCGGCTGAGTGTCTGAGTGTCTGTGTGTCTGTGCGGCTGTGTCAGTGTCAGTGTCCGTGTCCGTTTGCGTGTTGTCCGTGTTCTTCTGCGTGTCCCGTATGTGTCCAACCCTGTTCCAATAAAGCAGCTTCCGTTCTTTTTAAAGCACACATGCGTCCGCCATTGCAATATGTTGCTGGGATTAACCCTCCAGGAAAAAGGCCTCCAGAAAGGTTGTCCCCAATCTCTGTTGGCAGCTGAACAATTGGGATGATACCTTTGTGCCTCCAGATGAATCCGATGTGAATCTTAGGGAAAGAAGCACGCAACGTGCCATGATGTTGCCCCAGAATGAGGTAAGGGGGGTTCATTTTGAGGTGGGCACGTTGTTTGTTGTATTTTGTTTGTAGGTTTTCTCTTCTGCCTGGTCTCAGGGAAACCCAAACTCCTGGCTGCCGGGGTTGACTCTTAAAGCACCTTCCTTGGCTGAAACAAGTAAACCGGAGCCTTCACGAAACCTTCCGCTGGTTCGAAGTGAAAACTCGCCGTATCATTCTAGGCGTACCTCCCCCATTCTTTCCAGGGATCCGATTTTTTCTAGAAAACCTCCAGAAAGGAAAACGGAAAACGGATCGATCCGGTGTTCGAAAAGAAGGATGGGTTTTTGAAAGAATGGTTGCAAGGAATCAACCCCTATCAGCTGGATGGCCCATTTTCAGGCCTATTGACCTCGGATCTATTCAGATTCTGGCACGACTTGTAGTGGACATGGGAAATCAGCGAGGTGCCCGGAAGTTTGTGTGGGACATAGTGTTGCCCCAGCGCCCTTGGAAATTTCATCATAGACTACCACAAGTGTGGACGTTGATCGATTTTGTTTATGTTCGCTCTCAGCATTCTGTTCTTGGTTCAAACAAAGTCAATAAGTGGAAGCCCTCACATAGGATGGGGCGCGTGTGATCCGAGCAGGCCATTGACAAGCTCATCCCACGGAACCTCAGGCCTTCGCCTATTGGGAGATGCTTCGGTTTTCCTGGGATCTCTCAAAATTCGACTGTTTGCAGGTTCACTATGTATTGACCAGGATCAAGCCGATGCTTCTTTTTTTTTGGCGGGGATGGCGGGCAAAAGATGAGGTTGGAAGTTTCCTCCACTGAAGATGGACATGAAACCACCCAGAATGGATGTTTGAACACTCAACATAGGGGGCCTTGCAATTGGTGATTGCACTTTTGGCCCGAACAAAAACGGCCCCTCAGAAAAGACAGCACCAATTAATTGTTTTCGGTTGCGCACCACTCCGTTCTTGCTGTTCTGTCTAAGATGGGTCGTTTCATGAGTCAACCCCCATGCGCGTTCGTTTCCCTTTCGGTTTCCTGAGGCTGGACACAGGTCCCCGAAGAAAAACAAAGCGACTCCCATGTGTTTCGGGCTGGGCCAGAGCTAGGGTTGATCCCCAAACCCAAACTGTGGAACGTGGGGGATATTGGGAAGAAAGGCTTTAAGTATATGATAAAGTTTTATTTCGCAAGGATTTGGAGCAAAGCTAAACGCAAACATGTATTTTCCATGCAAGATTGTTCTGGGCATGTGCAGCAGGGCTTGATTGTCCATTGAACCTGCAACGTGTCTTGGATTCTTGGCTCGTTCAGGGGGGTGCCCTTTTCACCAGTTTGAATGGTCGCCAAAGCAAAACAATAATCTTTAGCAAATCCCCTATCTTGAGAAACACCCATAATTTGGGTATGTGTTTTTTGAGGGTACCCTTTTTGGTGTTGGGTGAACGGGGAAGCCCAGACAAAACCCAGTCACAGGTCGATCGTTCCCAAGCAGTTCCTGGTGACCCAAGGCGGGTCCGAGAGGTCTTGTCAAGGGAGCCCACCCTCCCGGTGTTTTTCGGGGTCCCGATATGTCCCTTTTGAGTTCATGCCGTCTAAAACTACCAGGGGAAAAAAAAGAAAAATCGGGAACCCGAACACACCAGAGGGTATTTCCCTTTTGAGGAGCTGGGGGTTCTCAGTCCAAACATTCTTATTCGAAATCTGGCTCATCCCCAACTCGGCGGTCTAGACAGGAGGCTGTCTACGGGCTGGAGGATGCGGCCTACGGGTTATGGATTGCACGGATGTTCAATGCTCCAGAAGGTTTTGACCCGCAATTTGCAGCGCAAATTGCGGATTCAGGATATTGGCAACCAAAACAAGGATTGTGCGGAATACAGATTGTGATAAGGGTGCCAGGGATTTTGATCAGGCTAGACATGACTTTTTGGACCAATGGTAGGTTAGTTTCCTGTTGGTGGGGTGATGGCGGAAGTTCGGGAGCCTGGTTTTTGTCGGGCATTTTCGTTTTCAAAGCAGCCCTGACTTATTTTCTTGGAGATCCCTTTTTCCACAGGGGCGAATCATAGGGAACATACAAAAAAGCGGTGGCTTTGGGTTCCCAGGGCAGGTTTCTAAATGGAATGACCGGTGGTCCCCGTTTTGCCACCGGTTTGCCCCGGGCCCCGTTGCCATTCACCCATGTCGCTTTTTTTTGCAGCCGCCTCCGGCAAAAAGCGGAAGGCCTGGACAGATCTTAACTAGATACATGTTTCACAAACAAGTCTTGAAGACCGCAAAGCACGGATGTTCCCAGGTGCCGGAAAACTATTGAGGTAGGGATTTCTTCTAGAATCTTCTCTAAAACAACGGGAATCAAAGATCTTGATACAAAAACAGGAATCCCCCTAAGGGAAACCTTCAAGATCTTGATGTCTGAGAAAAAAAGGGAATCTTTTCAAGGGAAACCTTCAAGATCTTGATTTCTGAGAAAACAGAAAAAAACGGGAATCCCCCCCAAACGACCCATGTGTCGACCTTTTTCCGCCTAAGCCAGCAGGTCCCAGGGCCGGTGGCGTGTGGCGTCGGTCGCCAGGGTCGCGTGCCCGCGCCTTGCGCGGCATGATGGGCCCCCAGCGCCTCGAGAGGCAGCGGGGCGGCCTCTTGGAGGCGCGGATCGATCCGGCGCGGATCCGGCGGCGACACGTGGAAGCCCCAAAATTGGTGGGAGGTTCTCATTGTTTGACCAATTTCAACCATTTTTAGCCAGTTTCAGCCAATTTCAGCCAATTTCAGCCAATTTCAGCCAATGAGGGTGTGTCGATTTTGGAGTTAAAATGTTGGTCTTCGATTTTTGAGGCCCCCACACGGCTGGTGTCAAAGCGAAACCAAAAGGAAACCAGCCATCTTTTGGGGGGGTCTCCTAAAAAACGGTGCACCCAAATAATGGATCATCTTGGTTGGTGTTCCTTTTGGAATTTCTCATTAAAACCACTCCATCAAAGGGCAGCCTCACTCTGGGTCTTGATTGTGGCTTTGCTTCACTCAAAGGGCGCTTTCACTAAGTTTCCGCCATTTCAGGTTCCACAAGGGCTTCTCAATTGTCCTGGGTGCCACCGTGAATCTGCATGAGTTCAAACCCCTAGGCTTCCATTCAATCCAAAGCCAGATTACTCAACCGCTTTTGAGAGGAGTCCTATGGTTGTGAATGAACGAAGTGGGTGAAAGTCCACGTCAGAATTCCAACATCTTGGCCAAGTCATCTCCCTCTTGCCATCCAAAGTGTCCGAATCGCCTAAGCACCTGGAAGGGCACAAATGGCTGTGGGTCAAACCCCTGTACCCCTGAACATCAACATAGGTGGCAAATGGATATCCACAAATGGAGCCATAGGTGCCCCATGGCCAGATGGCTTTGGGCGTCCTTCAGGCGGCCTGGACTCAAGCGCTGCGTTCCTGGCCGGGCTTGTGCTGCCCGCCGGACGCCACCGGCCGGGTGGGCTCGTGGTCGGGTTTCCTCGGGCGAACTGGAGCCCCAAAGTGGCCAGGCCCAGGGCCCCCAAGAAACGGTCAATTGCCCCGGTTTAGCCGGGCGCATGCCCAAAATGGTGGAGCTGCTCAGACACATATGTGCCTTGGGTTTTATGTGAAGTGCGCTTTCTAGGTGACCGGGGCAAGGAGATACCGGCGGGGTGTGTTGGACCTGTGGGAAGCCCCCCAGCTCAAGCCTAGAGTCGCTTGCTTCCTCCTCCTCGGTTTTTTTTTCAATGCCCGAATCTAGGGCATGGTCTGGATGAAATTTTGTCACGTGTCCTTAATTGGAAGAGGAAGAATCTTCAGTTCATGGCACAAAAGAAGCGTCTGCTTTTTCCGCGCTGCACACTGCCTTGGTGAAATCAATCCATGAAAACATTGCCGCATCATGATCAATATGAGCAACTGAAGTATGATTGGT